GTGTGGGAGTCTAAGTCTCTTTGTAGGTCTCTGAGGACTTGCTTTATGAATCTGGGTGCTCCTGTATTGGGTGCATATATATTTAGGATAGTTAGATCTTCTTGATGAATTGATCCCTTTATCATTATGTAATGGCCTTCTTTGTCTCTTTTGATCTTTGATGGATTAAAGTCTGTTTTATCAGAGACTAGGATTGCAACTCCTGCTTTTTTTGTTTTCCATTTGCTTGGTAGATCTTGCTCCATCCCTTTATTTTGAGCCTATGTGTGTCTCTGTACGTGAGATGGGTCTCCTGAATATAGCACATTGATGGGTCTTGACTCCTTATCCAGTTTGCCAGTCTGTGTCTTTTAATTGGACCATTTAGCCCATTTACATTTAAGGTTAATATTGTTATGTGTGAATTTGATCCTGTCATTATAACGTTACCTGGTTATTTTGCCCGTTAGTTGATGCAGTTTCTTCCTAGCATCGATGGTCTTTACAATTTGGCATGTTTTTGCAGTGGCTGGTACTGGCCATTCCTTTCCATGTTTAGTGCTTCCTTCAGGAGCTCTTGTAAGGCAGGCCTGGAGGTAACAAAATCTCTCAGCATTTGCTTGTCTGTAAAGGATTTTATTTCTCTTTCACTTATGAAGCTTAGTTTGGCTGGATATGAAATTCTGGGTTGAAAATTATTTTCTTCAGGAATGTTGAATATTGTCCCCCACTCTCTACTGGCTTGTAGAGTTTCTGTCGAGAGATCTGCTGTTAGTCTGATGGGCTTCCCTTTGTGGGTAACCCGACCTTTCTCTCTGGCTGCCCTTAACATTTTTTCTTCATTTCAAACTTGCTGAATCTAACAATTATGTGTCTTGGAGCTGCTCTTCTCGAGGAGTATCTTTGTGGTGTTCTTTATATTTCCTGAATGTAAATGTTGGCCTGCCTTGCTAGGTTGGGGAAGTTCTCCTATATAATATCCTGAAGAGAGTTTTCCAACTTGGTTCCATTCTCCCCGTCACTTTTGGTACACCAATCAAATGTAGATTTGGTCTTTTCACATAGTCCCATATTTCTTGGACGCTTTGTTCACATCTTTTTACTCTTTTTTCTCTAAACTTCTGTTCTCGCTTTATTTCACTGATTTCATCTTCAATCACTGATACCCTTTCTTCCACTTGATTGAATCAGCTACTGAAGCTTGTGCATGAGTCACGTAGTTCTTGTGCGTGGTTTTCAGCTCCATCAGGTCATTTAAGGTCTTCTCTACATTGTTTATTCTAGTTAGTCATTCGTCTAATCTTCCTAAGCTTCCTTGTGATGGGTTTGAACATCCTCCTTTATCTCGGAGAACTTTGTTATTACCAATGTTCTGAAGCCTTCTTCTGTCAACTCGTCAAAGTCATTCTCCATCCAACTTTGTTCCATTGCAGCGAGGAGCTGCGTTCCTTTGGAGGAGAAGAGGCATTCTGGTTTTTAGAATTTTCAGCTTTTCAGCTCTGGTTTCTCCCCATCTTTGTGGTTTTATCTACCTTTGGTCTTTAATGTTGGTGACCTACAGATGGGGTTTTGGTGTGGACATCCTTTTTGTTGATGTTGATGCTATTTCTTTCTGTTTGTTAGTTTTCCTTCTAACAGACAGGTCCCTCAGCTGCAGGTCTGTTGGAGTTTGTTGGAGGTCCACTCCAGACCCTATTTGCCTGGGTATCACCAGCAGAGGCTGCAGAACAGCAAATATTGCAGAAGAGTAAATATTGCTGCCTGATCCTTCCTCTGGAAGCTTCGTCCCAGAGGGCACCTGCCTGAATGAGGTGTCAGTCAGCCCCTACTGGGAGGTGTCTCCCAGTTAGGCTACACAGGGGACCCACTTGAGGAGGCAGTCTGTCTGTTCTCAGAGTTCAAATGCCATGCTGGGACAACCACTGCTCTCTTCAGAGCTGTCAGACAGGGATGTTTAAGTCTTCAGAAGTTTCTGCTGCCTTTTGTTCAGCTATGCCCTGGCCCCAGAGATGGAGTCAACAGGCAGCAGGTCTTGCTGAGCTGCAGTGGACTCCGCCCAGTTCGACCTTCCCTGGATGCTTTGTTTACCTATTCAAGTCTCAGCAATGGCTGATGACCCTCCCCCTGCCAGGCTACTGCCTCACAGGTCAATCTCAGACTGCTGTGCTAGCAGTGAGCAAGGCCCCGTGGGTGAGGCACCTGCCAAGCCAGGTGCAGAATATAATCTCCTGGTGTGACATTTGCTAATACCATTGGAAAAGCACAGTATAGGAGGAAATATCCGATTTTTCCAGGTACAACTTATCATGGCTTCCCTTGGCTAGGAAAGGGAAATCCCCCGTCCCCTTGCACTTCCCGGGTGGGGCAATGCCCTGGCTGCTTTGGCTCACCCTCCTTAGGCTGCACCCACTGTCCAGCTAGTCCCAGTGAGATGAACCAGGTACCTCAGTTGGAAATGCAGAAATCACCCATCTTCTGCGTCGATCGTGCTGGGAGCTGCGGACCAGTGCTATTCCTATTCAGCTATCTGAGAAGCACTATTATGTCTTACATGACATAACTTGATTTACCTTTCCCAAATGAAAACTAATAAGGGTTGTACCTCAAGATGTTAGTAAAAGGTCATTGCTTTATATTTAATTTTTCTAAATTCAATTATTCCGTCTTGGTAAAAACAGACGAAAGGAGGAGTTGGTCAAAGAGAAGGAAACAAATCATTTAAATTGGGTCACAATTCTGGCCTGCCATTTCACTAAATGACCATGAGATGAAAAGCAAGTCTGCTCTTCTCAGATCAGGCTCAGTTGGTGCCTGTCAACATGAAGCTGTTTTAAAATGTGGTCTTTTGGTGTGACATGGTCCCTACAGGCAAACCTGCTATACTACTTAATGTTCAATCAGAGAAATCAACAATTTGTTTTAACATTGAAGGAAAAATTGACAGTGCTGGATATATTGAGAGGTGGGCTGTGGGTCTCCAAAAAAGTCACTTCCAAAGGACTTTCCGGAACTAGTTATGTTTAAATTCATTTTCCTTACTGATTGTCAAATCTAATCACTAAGTAGCAATATAAGTCCCTTGTATTGAGATATAATACCATTTATATTGTATGCCTGGTGCTAGTATGTTAATTTGTTCAATACTCATAATAAGCCTATACTTATATTTATACATCTATACTATCGTATGAACTTTTCATTTTAATTGTGAAGGAACTGAGGAACACAGAGATTTGACAACCTGCCAGCATCATACATTTGGTAAGAGTAGAGCTTGGGTTTCAAACCCAGGCAGTCTGGCTCTGAAATCTGAGCTTCTTTAAGACTAGGATATAATTTTATGAATAAATATAGACCTACTTTTTAAAAAGTTTTATTTTTATTTTTATATGGGTGCCTGGGCTTAGGGATTGAGGGGAGCGGGTGCTCAGGGAAGGGGCTAAATATTGACTTTAGCAACCCAAAAATGGTTACTTCCAAGCAAAGGAAAAATTTCTTCTCATCTTCTACCAGTCAATATGAAGACACTGAATTCACTATGTAGCCAGAAAGGTAATAAAATATTTGAAGACTGAAAAAAAAGTATAGAATGGACAGATCACTGCTGCTGAGAAAAATGAAAAGCTCTTAAAGGCCACAGGCAAAGCTTCATTGGCCTCCTCAGGGGCCCAGAGGTAACCCTATTCCTTTCTGGGAATTAATGGTTTGCGTATTCTTCATTGTCCATGTCCTTCCCCACCTAGACTGTGAACATCTCAATGGGTAGAACTCTGCTGTCTTAATCATACTAGAATCTAAAGTGCTTAGTACAGTGCCTGGTACATAATAAATGCTTTCAAATGTGTTGAATGAAATACTAAATGAATGAAAAAGATAATAAAATTGTAATTCATATGGTGAGTGGATTTTTGTTCTTCTTTATCTCTCTCTAATAGAGCATACATTATTCAGTAACCTTGAGGCTGATGCTTTTCACTCTTACAAGCCCCAGGTAATTATGCTGTCCTGAAAACACCCATTAAGGCCGTTATGCAAAATCCTCAGATGTTTATCTCTAGGGGCTGTAAGTGACCTAAGGCAATTTTTGGAAGCAGTGATAGTGCCATTAAAACTAGTAGAAAGTGGTCACTATCTTTTATGTATGTGATAAGCTTACTGTCTTTATTGTCACCTTCATAATAAGTGAAAGCATTTTACTTTATTTATTTATTTTCTGAAGGGTGTGGATAATGAATTGGTAAGAGAGAGGCTAAATCCTTTGCTGACTTCTAATGATGAGCAAAAAAGACAGTTTCAGTTCAAGGGTGTTTTCTCTGAGACAGAGTTTTTCACCTCAGGGCAATCGATGCTTCTTTGTGAAACCAAACCTGCTAATTGGTATCCTCCTCTGACAATGCCTACATTGGGTCCCTGGAACCCAATAAGTATCTAGGGCCCCTGGCTATCTAGCAATCATGGGAACAAGAGGGGAATAAATTATCATTAAAGACTCATTGTTCTCCACAGCTGGGAGTTTGGGCATTTAAAAGCGTCAAAATGTGCTAGGTCATTTAATAATTTACTTCCTGAAGTAGATTCTAATTCTAATTGAAATGTATGTTTTACTTAGCACTAGGTGGGAAATGTAGAACCACACTTTTGAAGGGATCTCTTTGAAAGCTGCTTGCTTTGGTTTTATTGAATAGCTTTGCCTTCAGCTTTGCAACTTTGTATTCTAGTTTATATAGTCTTTATAAAGATAACTATTCTTGTAAATCTGGCATAGGTTTAGTTTTTTCCCTAGGCTTTGCTCACAGAATTCAGACGCCTGACTCTGGAACAGAAAGTGAACATGCGTGCTTTGCAGATGATTCTGACTTAAACATATGGCTATTATGTTGTACATTTTAAAAATGATATTTAATGCAGCGATTCCTGCTTTCCATATGGTTTGATTTTGTTTTCCCCCTCCCTTCCAATCCCATGCATGTTAGTTCTTCGCCTACTACGTCACAGCCTTGTGGGGATGTGTTCATCAGGGTCAGAGCATGACAACATGTCAGCTTGCACATTGTATATAGTTGGCACTCTTTTAGCTGGAAGCAACACAAGCTAGTTTAAACAATTGGGACAATTATCATCTCACTAAAAGGAAAGTTCAGAGTCAGGGCAAACTCCATGTTTAATCAGCAGCCCAGTATGGTCACCAAACCCCTAGGATTTTTCTTTCCATCCTGCTCATTTCAATGTCACGTTCATCCAAAGCCTGGTTCCTCTCATAAATCCCAAGAAGGCTCATGGGTTAATCAGACCTTTATTCTTTCTTGTTTTTGCCAGCAGGAGAGAGAATGATGATCTTCCAACAGGAAAGATCTTTGCTGTCAGCCTAGTTGGGCCATCAGAGGCCTCACACCAAGCGTAGTTGTCAGGGGAATGTGAATTGGGTTCGACCGTCAATGTCCAATATGGTGGCCACTAGCCATACTAAGCCCTTGAAATATGGCTAGTCCAAAATGACATGCACTGTAAGTGAAAAAGATACACTGGATTTTAAAGATGTAATATGAAAAAAAGTAATATAGCTCATTAATAATTTCTATATCGATTATATTGACAATATATTTCAGATAGATTAAATAAAATACATTATTAAAATTGATTTACCTGTTTCTTTTTACTTTTTAAAAAATGTGACTGCTAGAACACTTTAAATTACATATATGGCTTCCCATATTTCTATTGGACGGCGCTAGCTAACTAATCGAGATTCCCTCTGAAGTAGGAGTGAGCTACACACTCGAATGAAATTTAAGGTTTTCTGAGAAAAAGGAAAGGAAGAATCAGTGTTAAGTAAGCAGCCACATGGTCTACTTTGTCTGGAGGACCATTTTTTTAATTGCTCTCTTGTTGTTTTTATTCTAACTTCTAATTGGTGGCTGGAGGATATAAGAAAATCAGTAGTAACATGTGGGTTTCGTTGGGTACCAGGACAGCTTTTTCCAAGCATTCCAAACTATGTACTATGTGAGAATTTTGAGACACCAGAGATGTCATATATTGTTCTTGATTGCCAAGTAAGTTCACTGGGAACAACGTTGGGTTGAGCTCACAGGCCTGAATCCTTTTCCACTGCTTAAACAATTTTATTTTGTTTCATGTTCAGCATTTATTCTGTTATTAAAGCAATATGTAACAGTGGCACCAAATATGTAAAAATGATTAATACACTGTGGGGCACAGGAGACCTTTCCTGGTGTCAGTTGCTTGTTGCTTTCCACTCTACAACATTTCTCTTTTTTTTCCTTTTTGTTTCTTGCCTTACACTCACAGGCAGAAGGACTCCTTTTCACACTTACCTTATTGTAGGTAACCTCTGTCTGTTTCACAGCTAATTGTGCAACGAAGAACAAGGATTTCATAGAGTTTGTAGAATAATCGGGAAGCCTGTAGACATTAGTGAAGAAAAATCACGTGAATTCTTAACAAATTGTACATTACTGTCAAGATGGCCAATTGTAAAGCCAAGACTCTTCCTTGAGAAAAGTCTCTCGTCATCAAAGGTGTGTATGCAGGGCAGGACGATATTCTGCTTTAGGTTCAACTCACCCCAGGGCTGGTATTCTCCTTGCACACAGCAGCACAGCCTATACCAGGAGCTGCACTATTGCAATCCTTCTGCGGAGTTACTAAATAGCCACTGCCCAAAACCCCCACATTCCTTTCTTACCACCTTGGCTTTTCTGGCCTCTCCCCCTGAAATCTGGCAGTGAAGATGCAGAAGGGACCTCCAGGGTCATCTTGGTGCTGAAGGGACTTCCAGGACTCTGCCACACTTTTAAACAATGCTTCAACTGCCCAACATTTAAATCTGCCTTACACTAGTGATCAGTTTCCATCTTAACAAAGAGACAAAGGAAAACAAAATATCTGGAATGAAAACTAAGAAGGCGAAGGGCCAGGCGCAGTGGCTCACACCTGTAATCCAGCACTTTGGGAGGCCGAGGTGGGTGGATCACGAGGTCAGGAGTTTGAGACCAGCCTGCCCAACATAGTGAAACCCCGTCTCTACTAAAAATACAAAACTTAGCCAAGTGTGGTAGCGGTCACCTGTAGTCCCAGCTACTCGGGAGGCTGATGCAGGAGAATTGCTTGAACCTAGGAGGTGGAGGTTGTAGTGAGCTGACATACTGCCATTGCACTCCAGCCTGGGCAACAAGAGTGAAACTCCATCTCAAAAAAAGAAAAAAAGAAAAGAAATAAAAAGGAAATAATCTAAGAAGGCAACTTAATGCTTTCTTTGATGATTTCTAATAAAAAACAAAATCATTGTAATTTTTTATTGATACACACCATTTAAAGACGTCTCTTGAAGAGTCATAGTGAAGCAGAAAGAAGACTAGCACTTTGTGATATGAAAACTAGATTCCAGTTTTATCCTGACACTGGCCACCTGTGTGAACTTGGTAAGTTTCATCATTTCTGCAAGCCTCACTTCCTCATGAGTAAAAAGCAATAATGCCAGTTCCCACTTCAGAGTTATGAGGGTAAAAATCAAATAAAATATGAAAGCAACCAGCCCTGTTCTTGGCACATCACCAATGCTTGATAAGCTCTGGTCAAATTAGAATTGGAGAAGCTGGAGAACAACTGCATGAAAGAATTTTTTGTAACTTTGTGTTGAAGTAAGACACACAGGCAGAAAATGCAAATTACTGTATTTAATGTAATGAATTCCTGTAGAGAGAACACATGTAACCAGCACCCCCATCAGGAAATTAAACATTATCCATACCCCAGGAGTCCCCTCCTGCCTCCTTTCAGTCACCCATCCCCAAGGAACTTTTCATGCCAAACTGATTGTTTTAATGTGGGAACCGAATATTGCACATGCTCTGATGGGCTTAAGTGCTTAAAAACAAACAAAAAGGGTTCAGGTGAGTTGTTCTCCAGACTGAATGGAGAACCTACCATAGATTAAGTAGAGGCGCGTTAAAGACAAGCACACAATCTCTCTCTCACTCCTACACTCACACGATCATACGCTGCAAATGTGTAAGGACTTCCTGTTCTGTGAACAATGCCAGGTTAAGGATTATGGCATTTGCAAACGTGCTCCCGCTTCTCCAGGATTTTTTTTTTTTTTTTTTTTGAGAAGTCTCATTCTGTCACCCAGGCTGGAGTGCACTAGAGTGATCTCAGTTCACTGCAGCCTCCACCTCCCAGGTTCAAGCAATTCTCCTGCCTTAGCCTCCCAAGTACCTGAGATTACAGGTGCATGCCACTGCACTAAACTAATTTTAGTAGAGATGAGGTTTTACCATGTTGTACAGGCTGGTCTTGAACTCCTGACCTCAGGTGATCTGCCCACCTTGGCCTTCCAAAGTGCTGCGATTACAGGCATGAGCTACTAGCACCTGGCCAGGATTTTTATGAAAGGAGCAGCATAAGCAAAACAGGAAACCACTGTCTCGGGGTCAGCAAGCCTGGTTTCTCCTACTCTGCTAGTGAACTGAAGCCTAGGGTTGGGGTAGACCAGAGAAGGCATGAATGCCAGGCAAAGGATGTCTGCAGGCAGTATGGAGTGACTGGATGCTTTTGAGTGCAGGGTGACAAGGCGAAAATATTTTTATTGTGGAGGATGTATCTGGGAAAAGAGGGACTAGCCACAGAAAGTCAATGAGGAGGCTCTGTGAAACAGTCTAAGCCAATGAAGCCTCAGAATCACCTAGAGAGGCTTAAGCCACAGATTGCTGGGATCCTTCCCCAGGGTTGCTGCTTTAGAGGGTCTAGTTAATCTGAGAATTTATATTTTGTTTCCAGGTAATATACTTTGAGAATCACAGTTCTGAGCCAAAAGTTCTCAACACTCACAATACATTAGACTCATCTAGAGAGTGTTTTACAAACACCCATGCCCACGTCTCACCTCCAAAAAAAGCCTAGGGTTTAATTAGTCTGGGGTAAAGCCTGGGCATTGACATTTTCTAAGAATGATTCTATCGCATCACCAATTTTGGGAACCACTTATCTAGACAGGGATTCTGGAATGTGGCTCCTTATCAGAATTACCCAGGGAGCATAATAAATAGATTCCTGGGCGCCACCCCAGATAAAGGACATGTAGAGTGGAGCCCTGGCATTCCTATGCTTGATCTTCACAGACTGGTCACGCTGATACAGATGGTTCCCACACTGGCTTTTGGGAACTGCTGGTCTGGAAAGGCAAATGAGGACACAAACCCTAAAAACAAAGTATGAGGAATGGCAATAAATGAGAGCTCCTAGGATTTTCTGACTGTTTAGATGGGCAGACCATGGAAGGAATTGAAGCCCAGAGGGTGGGAAATCTATCTACGGGTCACAAGAAAGCCTTGTGTGGCCGTCAAGGTGTGGTCATAGAATACTGCTGGTCGCACAAAGAGCCACAACTTGAATCAGTTATCTTCCTGCCAACAGCCTGACATATCCAGACACCCCATCTTATCAAACCCTGACAATTAGTGGGTGCTAATTCATGCTGACTAAGCCCTAGGAGGTTCAAGTCTCTAACATGGCATGTAACTGTTAATTTTCACTGAGAAACAATAACAAGCAAGGTAGCCAAACACTTGTATTCTTCCCATGGATAAATTACACAGAAAGCCAAATTGTCATCAGAAAGTTGCTGGGTAGAGATGGAATCAGAGCGGAGAGGAGTTAATTGCATGATTCAAATGTTTAGGGGCATCAGGTTGTGATAGCTGGGTGCCTCCTTCTCTACAAGTAAATATTTGGAGGAGTCTGAAAAGACACAGCCTCTAATGGACAGTTCCTAATGGCCACAGCCAGTATTTGCCCCAGTGACTCGGCTGGGTTTATGCTCCACCATCCGCAGGCTAATTAATTCATTAAGTCTTTAGATATATGAATATCCTCAATCAAATGAGTCTCATCTTGCTCACTCTTGAGTCCCTGTGTTTCTTAGGGTGATTTTGCATATCTCTCACCTGAACAATGATGTAGTTTACAGTGTAGTTCTAAGAGGATAATTCCATTTTCCTTAATACTACACTTCTGGAGTGGTAGTATTAGGGAAAAATACCGTTGCCACATAGAGTTCAATTTCACTATTTTAGCAACGATTAGTCTTATTTTATGTGGCAGAATTAGAGGCTAATATTTTAATTATTTTTATGTTTCTTCAAAGCATAGTATACTGTCATGGTTAAAAGAGACCTAGTTAACCCTGAGCATATGAAGCCTTTATGCTCAGATCATGAGGTCACAATACTGGGTTACTTCTCACCTACTATGAGCTTCCTCGAAAAGCAGGCAGGCAACTGTAGTTAGAAAACAAAGAATTCAGTTCTGCAAGTGTGCCTGGCAACCTAAACCTGCAAAGTGATGGCAAACGTCCCAACCATATTTTAGCTTTACAATTATGTTGATGATGAAACAGGCTCTTTGTGAGAGCCAAAAGTAGAACAAAGCATTTGTATCATGCTTGATAAAGATAACAAGAGAAATAAATCCAAACCATAGCATTTAGTTGGCTTCTTGAGGAGAGAGAAGGAGTGGGAGTGATGAGATGTGGACTCCCCAAGTGCACATTTGTTGCTTAGTGACATGAGGAGCAGCTCTTTAGCAGGAGGGGGAAGAAGATGCAGGTGGGGAATCCTTGAATCTGCTTTCTATAGAAGCAGACAGGATGTGTCTTCTCCGACCCCTTGATACTCTTCTATTTATGTCAGGCCTTCTGGGTGACTGTGCTCAGATTCTTATTTAAATCCAATTAAATCTGGGACTTGAGTAAACACAGATGTATATCATGCAGAAGATAGTAGTAAAGGATTCTGCATATAGGCCAGAGCAGCTGTATCTTTTCTGCTATTTAAGGTTTGGGTTTTTTCTTAGTATCTTGGAAAGAAAAAGTGACAGTAAATATTGGCGGTTTTAATTTTATACAAAACCAGAGTCTCTCCTTTTTCTAGCCTTTCCCCTTGGCCTAGGCCAGATTGACTTTATTAAAACAATCTGATCAGGCCCCTCTCCTTCCCGTGGCTCCCCACTGTCCACAGAAAAACGTTCATTCCCAAGGGGACCTCAGACTTCCTTCATGACGGGTTCCCCCTTGGCTGAATAGCCTAACATCCTGCCACTTTTCTCCTCGCATAGAATATTCCATCCAATGCAGACTTTCAGGGTGTCCCCAGTTCAGAGCTCTTTCACTTCTGTACACTTCATCTACCTCCTTTACCTTGCCTGAAAGTGAGAATTACAGAATCTGGAGCAAAACTGCCACCCGTTATGGCTCTGCATCTTCATTAAGTGGTGTGGCCTTAGGCAAATTACTTAACCTCTCAGTGCCTCAGTTTCCTCCTGTCCAGTAAAAGGATAGTAGTGGCTAACCTAGGCTCACAAGGTTGTTGGCCTTAAATGCATTAATGCATAGAAAATGCAGAGCAGTGCCTGGCACATAGGAAATAGTTAATATTTTTAACTTCTACATATGCTACAAGACTAAGCCTAAACATTATTTTCTGTGGGAAGTCTTACACTGTCAGATGTAAGATAATTCTCAACCAAGGGTGATTTTGCACCACCACCCTCCCGAGGAATTTTGGCAATGTCTGGAGACATTTTTGGTCATCTCAAACAGTGGAATGCTACCAGTAGAGGCCAGGAATGCTGGTAAAAAAATTTAAAAATCTACTTTGCACAGGACAGCTGTTCCACAGCAAGGAGTCATCAGGTCCAAAGTGTCAACAGTGCCAAAGTTGAGAAATTCTGACAAAAGGCACACTATGACATTTCTTAATATTCAGTCTATTAATATTTGTTCTTATGTCTTTATTGAAGACAACAAAACATAGCAATAATACCTAAGCTTTATAAACTATATCTCAGTGACTCATGTTGAATTGTAGCTTTTCAACTTGCCATTCTGGCTATCTTAGTCAGCCAGCTGTTAGTATTGAGCCAGGTGTCATTCTATGCACTTTGCCTTTATTAATTCATTTAACCCTAACAACAACTCTATAAGGTAAGTGCTTTATTACCCTTATTTTACAGACGAGGAAGGTAAGGCAAAGTGACAAAGTAGGGTTTGAACTCAGTCTTGCTCCAGAAATTATGCAGAGTCGGTTAAGACTGAGTCCCCCACTAGAAGTCATCTTCCTGTCTTAAATGATTTATAATGGTTGTTTTATTTTCCTTTTATTGTCATCTTTGGCAGAGAAATTGACTCTGGCTTATTCAGTCTTCTTAACAGAGGACCTACTGATTTTGAGATGTTAGGCTGATTAGAAAGGAAAATAACAGCAACACAAAAAGGGGAATAAGAAAATAAACCTCTGAAGAATTTGATGCTTGAGTCTAGTGATGTATGTAAAAGCACTTTGCAAGTTGTAAGGCAGTGGTTTTCAAACTATGATGTATTCAAACTATGATGTATTCCACAACTACCAGGAGAGTTTGTTAAAAATGCCGACTTCCCAGTGTCACCCTCAGAGATTCTGATTGCATGAATCTGGGGCCTTGCCCAGGAATCTGCCTTTTTAACAAGCTCCCAGGTGACCTTGATGCAGGTGGTCCACTTGCTCACCTTGGAAACACTGCTGTACATATGGGGCTTAGAAGCGAGAGCTAGCAAATCCCAGAAGAATACTTGAGTTTTTGCCTGTAGAATAATTCAAACCACCTGAGTGGTAGCTTATTAGTGCTTTTCTGGTTCCCCAGTAACTCACTAGCTTTAGGCCAAGGAGCTTGATTGAGAGGGTATTGACGGGGAGGAAGGAGAGGAAAAGAAAGGAATAGGGCCAATTAAAACCACCTTCCCACTGAGGTGATTGTTTCTCTGTGGACAATGAAGGAGCTGTGGAGCACCTTCTTCCTTCAGTGTCTCCCTAATTGGCTGTTGTGACTATCATTCTGCCCTGAGGGAGGTTAATAGAAACAAGAGAGAGAAGAAAAGGATGCCAAGTAACTTAGAGCAGGAACAAAAAAGGAGCTGGCGCTCATTTCCACCAGGACAGAGAGAAGCCCTGATTGGTCTCTTTCCCTAAGGTCCTCTTTCATACATCTCTACGACCTTTCCCCTCCTTTTTTCTTTTCTCCCTCAGAGGGACCAATAAGCATGGGTTGTCTGGACAAGCAGTGCTTTATTAATGATCCAGGGAAAATTCTGATGACCCAGAATTCTGCCATAAAGTGATATCTTGTTATTGCAAAGTGATCGTGTTCTTAACCTTCTTGCTGAACCACGTTTTTTTTTTGGCAGGGGGGTGGGATGAACAACAGCCAGAGGCTCTTTTATTCTGAGCATCTTTCCAAGAGATCAGTTGAGTTACTTGGATTTTCATACTGGACCGTTACATGACATGCATTAACAACGTATGCTATAAACAACTTACCTTTCACTGAGCTAAGTAATTTAAAGTAATTTTAGCAATATCATATGGCATCGTGATTAAGATTTCCTGGCTTCAATCCTGGCTCTGCAAATCACTAACCGTGTGTCCTCGAAGGTGACTTTACATCTCTAAGCTGCAGGTTCCAATCTGTAAAACTGAGATAATAATAGGACCTCCTTCCCAACATACACACACATACAACAGCGAATTGTTATGACAACCAAATGAGACAATACATGTAAAATACAGTGCCTCACCCACAGTAAGCCCACAATAATGTTGGCCTCCATGTTCTTTACTTTTCTGAATTATTGTTTGATATTTCTAACCTAATAACTGCTGAATTGCTGGATTAAAAAAAAAAAACAAGAAAAAAAGGAACGTTTTTAAAAAGTATTTCCTTTCTATTAGCATTGAACTTCAAATGCTCATAGCACACTGTAAGCAGAGCAACAGATGGATTCTATCCAACGGGAAGGACACACAACTAAGGAAGCAAACAGACATAGGAGAGCAAGATAAATCACTTAGTTGCTTACCACACACATTGTGAGACACTGAATGTGTATTAGAAGTTTCTTACCAATAGTTGGGCCTCCATTTCTTGAATGGTTTTATATTTCCAGACTGCAAACAAATGATTGTATGTGTGAAAAAAATATGGAATAGGCAGGAGGACAAATTCAAGTGAACCAGAATACCAGGGGCTCTGGTGTTCTCTTGGAGCTCTCTGCACCGGGTAAATCCTCTGAGTGTAGGCTTGCTGACAGCGGTCTCATTCACACGCAGGTTCCTCCCGGGTATAGCTCCGAGAGCAACAGCCCCCAGTCAGTGCAGGGTTACTAAGCAACTATACTCCCACGGAGGTATGAAATAAGAGAAAGTCTTGATTTTAAAAACAAAAGAAAACCAAAACGCCCTGGTAAGCAGAGCTAATAATATAACCTGCTCTTCTCCTTTGAGTATACTAACCCTCAAGCTAGTTTACCTTTACCAGCATATCACAACCACATGGAAATCAAATTAGAAAGCATGCGGCAATTGTATAAAGTAACTTCAAGCAATGTTTTAAATTACTGCTAATAAATTTCGTGTTAAAATGGCACCTCATATAGTGAACCCTTTTTTGTGTATCATCTCTCAACTGGGCACCTCAATGGAGGTTGATTGTCATTTGAATAATGGTTTTAGCAACTAAGTCAATGTTTAGTTTTAGACTTAATTTTTTTATTGTTTTTGTATTATCTAAGTTATACATTATTATGACAAAAATTATTATTTTTTAAGTAGCTAGTACAAAGATGATGACCGGTAATCATTGACTGGATCTTTAGAGTTTAAGGATTACAAATAGATCTGTACATGTTTACATGTTCCCTACATATCCCCTTAGGATGACACAGGGAAACACTTCCTGGTTTTGATTCTTACTTTGATTAACATTTGCTAAGCACTCAATTTGTGCAGAGCACTATGTGAGACACTGGAGTTGAAGAGGGAGAAGGAAGAAGATGTACAAAGAGACAATGCAAGGTCCAACCATTCAAAGAAGTGTTGTATAGTTTTAATGAAGGAGATAAAATTGTACACAGATACTACAGAAGGCAATGAAAGGAGGAATTAGGATACTCTGAATGATGTAATAATTATAGAAATCACTAGCTTTAAATTGCCAAATTAGAACATTACAGTTCTAATCTGCTGGGATAGGGCAGGAGAGCAGTACAGAGGGAATGTTAAAGAATTAGAGCTCTCAAATAGAAATGAAGCTGGATCTGACAGCTTTCTATACCTTCCAGCCTTTTCAATATCACGGTGTGTGTGCATAGATAGATAGATGATAGATAGATAGATAGATAGATAGATAGATAGATAGATAGATAGTCAGACATAATTTTATTTTTACAATGCATCAAGGCATAAAGGATTTGTGTTAGAGGGAAACAAGTCACCAGCGACCTAGGCCTTGTCCAGCTGCTTCCAAGGTTAACAAGACTGGTGTCCCTGAGGCCCACCATACCCATTGAGAAACTCTGCGTATTTGAGACATGCTCCTAACATGGATTTGCCCACTACAGAGTCAGAATCTCAAATATAATATGAAGGAATGTTGGCCCAGCACATGTGGATGTGGATGTGTGATGTGCCATGGTTAGCAAGGCAATCTGAGTCGGGATGGAACTCCAGCCTGAACACCCACTAGCTTCCATCACCTTGGCAAGTTAGCTCACTCCTCTAAGCTTCATGGAAATGTCACTAATAAAATGGAATGCCCTGCTGAGCCATGTTGGAGCCTGAAACAAAAGGAAGACTGCGTGTTCCTATATACCTTATCAAAATAGCCTCTTTATTGTGAATCAAATGGGAATAGTTAATTGAAGTTTTCAGGGGCAAATCATGACTTCTGTTTAAAGCTCTGCATTGCCCAATCTGTTTGCATGACATTATCAACCCTAATAAACCGGCTGGTAGGGCATGCTGTTGATTGGAAATGACTGTTCCTGTTGCACAATAATACAGAGTTGTAGAACAAAACAGCCTGTTTTTATTTAAAATTATGATGGTGTTTATGCTTAGTGAATGCTTGGCATTAATTTTTTTAAAATATTACATTACAATATTATTTACACTGAGTGCTGAGTTTTTTGGTTCCCCATTAAATGTTGCTTGCCCCTGTGGTGAATGCCCCACTCTCCTCACCCTAATTGGGATTCCAAAAAATGTACTTTGAAGGACCACTATAACTACAAATAAAGACTATAAAATATCTTTATAAAATCTGTACTTAAAAGCAATAGTCATTGGTATCTGATTTTATAATACCTAACAGATTCCTTAGCTATTACTGAATGTGTTTTCTGAGAGTCCCTGGAAAAGCAGTGTGAATGAGAACAATACGCAGTTTATTCAACATGCTGAAAAGATACACAGTGAGTTCTGAAATCTGCCTCCGATCTGGTCACCAAGGAAATGTTGATGACCCTTAACCAGAATATACAAGGGAAAGGTGCTGGCCCAGCTGGGATTTCTCTTCTTCCAAGTTCTGGGAACCCTCTTGTGTATCCAAGACAATCTGCTCTCTCATGTCCCCTCTGTCGCTTTAGACTCCCAGCAATGACACTCAGATAGCTTTTAGTCTTTGCTTGTACCAAAAATGCTTGAAGTAGTGAGTTTACCAATAGATTTCCATACACAACTCCGATTCTCTCCTTTAGGTTCAGCAAAATGCTAAAGGACAGCTTGACTAATTGTACCATCATTCCTTCTGTCTTCCTCATAGGTAACTCTTCTTTCTGGGCCAATATTGATTTTCTGTGGACATACATGAGGATTTTAAATTCCCCCTTTGGCAGGAAGAATAAGTTCCTGCCAGGAGTGTGACCCCGTGTGTTTCCCTGTTAGCAGGTTCGCAGTGGTGGCTTCTTTCCTCAGCAGCAGCAGCTGGAAAGCATTCCTGTTGAACCACTTCACGCCCAGTACTGGGAGAGCTACGGAAAATAAACTAACATGAAACATCATCTGCCTTTGCCTCTGAGAATGATACCCCAGGGCAATTTGATGGCAAACACAATAAAGTCACCAATGTGCAGTTGCATTAAACAAATATGGAAAAATTAGCACATTGACTATTTCTAATTATCTCCATTTATTCTGTAATGTGGTGTCTAGAGGAAACGGTTCTGTGGTAAATCTGCAAGATGTTGCTTTCAGCCTAGGAAGACAAATAAATAGGTACTACTTTAGCTTTTCATTCTCTTGGTCATTCACAGAGTGGGAAAAAAAAGAAAAAAGAAAAACCCCAACTACTTTAAAAATTGAAAAAATATTACCCATCAGAAGAGAAAGTGCTTACAAAAGGAAAGACTTGACAAAAAGTAATATGTAGACACAACACCAGGCTTCTCACTTCTGATGAATTTGCAGCCTAAATACTAAAATATGCTGTTTCCCATTTCACCTTGTTTCCACAGAGACCAGGGCTGACAAAGAGCCCGTCACCAACAGTTACCGCCCTTTGTCTGCCCTGGTTGCTGAAGGCTGCATGAGCAGAGAATGAGCAAATGTGGGATAAATGTAAGCTGCTGATTTCATTCACACTTGGAACCTTATCTGTCTCCCATCTGAGTCACTAAGGAGCTCTCAGATTTGCCTCAATCTGACTTATTTTACACTCTGGCTTTTCTTCCATCTACCTTTTCTTCTTTGTGTGTAATAAAAATAACACAATAACACATGGAAAGATAGAAAGCAAAAAGTTAAGAATCACTGATAATTTTCAAAAAAAATTTTAAATCATCAAAAAATAAATACAAACTAATATTTGGATATAGTTTCTTCCAGATTTTTCCCTGGCTCCTTCTCCTTATGTATGTATTCTCTATGTTCTTTCCCACTTATCTGAAATACCACTGAGGAAGTGAATTCCCAAGTATCCTTAGGTCTGTTTCTAGACTCAGTTTCAGTGATTTTTTTTCCCATATTAACTTGCAGAGTTCTGAGAGCTCATTAGATCCTTTGTAATGTGACTTCAGAGGAATTAGGGGAGAAGATCAGTCTGCTATGAGCACAAGGACCAGGTCTCCCAGCCTTCCTTTTACCAGATCAGCTTTTATTTTTTAAAAAACTTTGGACTTCTGTGTGAGATTTTGTTTGAATAAAGGGTTTTGTGGCAAAACCAAAATAAAATGAAAATGTCACATATTCTGTTCCATTTTTCTGTAGGGTACATGAAATTTTGATGTTATGCTTTTGTAGCAGCCATTCGAATGTGTCAATATTGATATTACTGTTTTCTAGTGACTATGCTTCCATACAGACTAAAGAGCAATGATACATATAAATCATACATGAGTATTATGTAAAGTAGATTCCCTCACCTACTTCCTGAGTCAACTCTGGCCTTGGTCACCCTCTTCTGATGTCCCCTATGATGCCTTCATCCATTCCAGGGAGAGAACAGAGTTCTCACAAGGCCTAGGCTCATCCCTGGCTGCTCTCAAATCACTAGTAATGGGAAATCCAGCTGTACTCCCTAAGACCAGAGAAATCCACAGTGGCTGAACCCAACTTGCTGCCTAGAGACTGACTGCCCACATGCTGCACTATTCTTGTTATAGTAACTTCCATATGCAAAATATGGAACTTCCGTGGCCCAATTGCTCCATGTCTGTCTTTGTCACCACCCTACTGCTGGATCCTTCTCCCTCACATTCCCCATACTCACTAACGAAGCTCTTTATGCCTCTCCACACTCATTTTCTGCTCCAACAGTAATCATTTTCCAGGATTACTGAAAGAGAAGGGCTATTCTTTCTGGATTGGTAAAATATTCACTCTATAAACCAGCACGTGGCCTTCCCTCATGACCCAAGCAAGAAAATAATGAAAAAAGTTTTACACTGGCCTAACCTATTACCTATATATATGTAATATGCTTTATCTATCCTACCCATGAATACTTCATCAGAGAAGCCAAGGAAGCAAAGAAATCTGCTCATCTTCTAAGAGTTTGACTCACATACATATTAAATGGTCTGGCCCTCAATACTGTGATTTCTTTCTTAATGTGGCTATGTTGTTGTTCATCTACATTCAATTAGTAAACGATTTGACTGTTTACTAATGGCATTTACTGAAGATCTAAAAGATATACACTTCTGTTTTTATGGAATTTCTCATTATTCTAAATCTAGTTGAATGAACGCAAAGTAGGTACAATGGGGCAGTAGATATGGGAATGGGGGGGATATTCAGACCGCATACAAATGATGGCCATTTATTCAATACTTTCAATGATTATGTTAATTATATTAGATTTATAATCATAGTTGATAAGGATAAAATATATTATTGGAGGCTA